TGGAAAGGGTCCACGCTCAGCCAGCAAGTGCCTCCAGAGCTGGTTCGTGTTAGTTTCACAGCCAGCAGCCCTGCCACGTGGGAACACGTGTGTGCCATCTGGAGTCCTGAGCTGGGGGTTCTGAAAGTGGTGGGCCAGTCTAGGTGCTGGGTTTAGACACGCGTGGCTATATTTTTAGAAGGTACTTTAAAAATCTCAGTTTCTGGGACTTTGTTCTCCAGCTAAGCCACTCCAGCTGATGTCTGCTTCCAGCTCAATCTGCTACAGGCTTTATTTTTTAAAAACTATGGTTTCGAGTGTTTCGATCTCCACTGCTTTTATTCTGGACCTGCTGCATTTGGAGCTTAGGAAAGTAACACTGGTTCCAAACCCCATTGCCAGTAGGGAAGGGAGTTTCACTGTAGTGTCAGGATTGGCTCCGAATCTAGGTGGTACAGAAACAAGAGGATGGACCTCAGCCCTTATCAGAGCATTGCACCTGGGAGTTGCCGATCAACCCTTTCAGCATTTGAATTTTCCTGTAATACTGCCCTGAAGTTCAAGAATCATCATGTTTCTATAGGAAGTAAACTTTGGCCTAGGTCATACCAGGATTGGTCTTTCAGCTCACCCATGCTGACAAACTGGAGGCTAAGCAGGATGGTCAGAGCTTCAAAAACCTTGAGGCAGAAGGTGGTGAATCCCCCAGGCACTGGAGGTGATCAGGAAGAAGCTGGCCAGCCCCTTACCGAGACGGTAGAAGAGGATATTCATGAATTGAGCAGAGAGTTGATTGGGTAACCATTGACAACCTTCATATTCTTGGAGGGTTCCTTCCAACCCAGAGCATATGAACATGTGAGAGCTACTCGTTGGACAGTTAGAGAGCCAGAATTGCAGATGCTCTCTTTTGGTGACCAAGCTTGCACCATATTTATAAAAAGTCTCTAGAACTAAATGCTCCCCCTAACTGTCTTTTGCACATAGCCACAGAGAGGAATATTGTTCCATTTGGAGGCTTCTTACCTTTGCCAAGTTAAGAGGAAGCTTGTCTTTGTAATCAGGATGGAGAAGAAAGCACAAAGCATCTACTGCTGATGATGGATGCTTCTAGATGAACTTGCCCATCTCCTGAATAGCTCAGAACAACTGAATTTAGAGTTGTGATCACTGAGAGGTCTCTGCCTGACAGTGATTTTATTCTGCTGGTTTTAAAAAGAGATTACAGCCAATGCAGGGGACACGGGTTCGATCCCTGGTCCAGGAAGATCCCACATGCCGCAGATCAACTAAGCCCGTGCACCACAACTACTGAGCCTGCGCTCTAGAGCCCATGTGCCACAACTACTGAGCCCACATGCCACAACTACTGAAGCCTGCACACCTAGAGCCCATGCTCCGCAACAAGAAGCCACCACAGTGAGAAGCCCACGCACCGCAATGAAGAGTAGCCCCCGCTCGCCGCAAGTAGAGAAAGCCCGTGTGCAGCAATGAAGACCCAATGCAGCCAAAAATAAATGAATAAAATAAATTTCTATATAAAAAAAGATATTACAGGAGTAAAAAATTCCTTGTTTAAAGGATATCCTCTAGCCAGCGTGCAAAATGTCACTAAAGCTGCCTAGGCGTTTAGGGGACATCACCTTTGTCTTTCAAGATTCTCCAAAAGATACTGGTGGGCTCCTTTGAATGCATGAGCATCTCTGCTGTGTGAGCTCAGGTGAACTGCTGGTGCCGCCAGTAGAGTTCTATAATCATTTCTATTCTTTAGCACCTTTCGTTATACATCAGCCCACCTACCACCTGTTTCTGAGTCGGGAGAATCTGCATACGTGGAGGTTCTCATGCCACTGGGAACGTGGCCAAAGAGTGTATTCCTTCTCCAGTTTCCTGCCTCTACATCCGCATCTGGGTTGTCTCTAAATCTGGCCATCACAGAAGGCCTGTTTCTTGAGTTGGGGTCCAGAGTGAAGGTGGGAAATGTCATAACTTCTGTCTTACCAAATTCTGAGAACGTCTGTAAAGCTAACATTAGTACAGACCATATGGAGAATGGTACTTTCCCCCTCATAGAACTATGATTACAGGGACTTTCTGAAGCAGAGATTTAATCAGAGCTTGCTTGCTTACTTGCTTGCTATGGGGGTGGGGGGGGTTCAGTCATCAGAGACCCAGTTAATGTGCTTCATCTGATTTTCTGTACTTGGGTAGGCTGCGATCTTCAGTAGCAAGAGAAATTACTCTCCTGAAGCTTCCTTCAATCTCATCCTCCTTAAGAAGTGTCCATGTTGTCCAGTATCCCCACAGCCAAAGGAAGTGCAGCCCGCTTAATGCGAGAATGCCCTCAAAGGCAAATGACCCCAGAAGAGGGGGGAGGGTGCAGGGTGCTGTCTGCTTCCTTGCCAGACTCTCTAAAATGTCCTTCATGAGAACAAATAAGGTTTTCTACTTTACTGGCCGTGTACATCATGTTACGCACAATGTTTCTAAATTGTGGTTTTAAGCTGACAAAGATTTTGGCATTCTCTCCAAAGGAATGAAGCATTTGTCCTTCACGGCATCTTTTACCACCATAAAATACCATTCCCATTTAAATTAATTAAAATACTTAAAATCTAAACTTTAATGGGAAAGATGGTTGAAGTCTTTTTTTTTTTTTTATAATTTATGGCTTGGCAGTACAATTTTCTTCGATTGGTTTTATTTTGGCCTTGGGAAAAAAAGCAGTTACTATCATTGTTTTGTTTCTGTTTTCCTGTATTCAGCCCTAGCCTTTCAGAATTATCCTGATCCCCTGTATGACTCATGAAGCTTCGCTCTTATACTGAAGGCAAGTGGTATGAGATTTGTAATACTTGTAGTTATCTTTCAGACTCCATGGTCCCCCAAGCGACCGCTTCACTATGATCCCACTTCTGAAAGAGAGTTCATTGTTTCTTTTTGGGGGGGATGCAATAAGCACGTTGATTGAATTGCAGCTTTAGTATTTAAATTTTAATTTAATGTTGACACGAGAACTGGTTGTTTGCCGTCCTTCCCATTGTCCGCCATCACCCACTTGTCTATCTTCGACCATGGGCACTGGTAACAATTTTCCAGCCTTGATTCACAGTGAAGCAGCCTGCTTAGGCCACCACATCAGATCCTGGGGTGGTGAGGAAGCCACTAAACCCAGAGACTTCGATTCTGATGCAAGTCACTTAGCCTCTCGGAGACTCAGTTTCCTTATCTGTAAAATGGGAGGTTGGATTACTCTAATGAATACTAAGAGTTCACACGAGTAGTAACAAGGTCAATAACAATGTGGGCCCATACTTGCTGAGCAGCTATTCCGTCCTTTTCCATATGCCAGGCCTAGGTGGTACCCAGGGGAGTAGGGGGTGGGGAGACAGAGGAGTAAATGAATACTTTTGATAGATTAATAGTATGGTGAGAACTAAGCTCCAGAGAAGCCGGAGAAGCTGTAGAAGCATGGCATGAGTCCACAAGGTTTTTTTCAATACTCTGAAAATCAAATAAAACGCCTACATTTGCTCTGGTAAGACTTAGCCACCTGACGAAAATACCAACTTTCTTTCTGGGAGCTGGAAAAATGTCAGCTTGGTGTGGAGAGATTGGTTCTATTCTTCTGATCCCGAGCCCTGGCTGGTAGGTGGGGCCCATAACTAGCAGCTCTGGCTCCTGTAGCAAACCCTAAAGTCAACTTTTTAACTCATGTTGCAGCTCACAGATGGGTGTTATTACCAGTGTGCACCATCTGGTAGATTTCTCTTTTACTCATTCATCCCTGCTAACAAGATACCGAGCTTTTAAAATTATTATCTTAAATTTATGTGACCTCTAAACATTCAGGACCTAGGACCAAAAGTCTTGGTCATCTTGCCCTCGTTATATAGTCCTGGTTTTCGTTTAAACTGAGAAATGTATTGTTGCTTTATGCAATTTGTTTCATAAGCCAACATTTTTCAAACATGAGGTCCGCAAAATAAAAATTAGCAGAAAAGAGCCCTCGCTGGTTAAAAGATTCCACGCTGGACTACCAGGTGGGCAGTGTTTCTAGTTCCCAAACCGTGTGTGTTCCCTGTCGTGCTTGCAGAGCTCAGCACCTGGCATGGAGCAGACACGTGGTAAAAGTGTAACTGGGGGGCTTCCCAGGTGGCGCAGTGGTTGAGAGTCCGCCTGCCGATGCAGGGGACGCGGGTTCGTGCCCCGGTTCGGGAAGATCCCATATGCCGCGGAGCGGCTGGGCCTGTGAGCCATGGCCGCTGAGCCTGCGCATCCGGAGCCTGTGCTCTGCAATGGGAGAGGCCACAACAGTGAGAGGCCCACGTACCGCAAAAAAAAAAAAAAAAAAAAATGTAACTGGAAGCACGCTAGTGGGCAGGCAGCATTACAGCAGTCTGATTTGGTTGCTAATATACTTCTGAAAGGCCAGACCAACGTCCAAAGGCTGGGACAAACTCCAGGATGTGTTGTCCGTTGTGTGGACAGAGTCTTGAGCCAAGTGGATGTCCTCTTCACATGGTCCAAAGATCTGTTTTGGGAATTAAAACCTCCGTAGACACCCTCTCAGGCACTATTCACATGGTGGTTCTGATCGTGTCTTCTGATATCATTATGTTATGCTTCTTGCTTACTTCCACCTTTTAATTTGTGCTGATACGTGCATACATGTAGTTTGTTTTTTTTTTTTTTTTAAAGAAATTGGCATCTCCTGCAGGTCCACCTGGGCAGGACCCAAGCAGCCAATGGCAGTGGTGGCTGGGGGTGTGTGGTCCCGGAACCAAATCCCCATGGATACAGAGGGACAACCGTATTTACTGTGTTGTCTAAGATGCCCACTGTGCCCTTTCTGGTTGTTTTTTTTTTTTTTTGGTTCTGTCGTCATAGACACATACTGGGCCGGCAGGAAGCACGTGTGACCGAGGATGGCTGTGTATTTCTACTTCCAGGTTTATTGTACATTTCGAATGGTATGTGCGTGACCCTGTAATGATGTGTGGCCTTTCTTCTTTCCCCAGAATGTCGAGTGGTGAAGTCCACTTCTTACACCAAAATAGCTTCATCATCCCGCAGGAGCACCACCAAGAGCCCAGGACCTTCCCGGCGCAGCAAATCCCCGGCATCAACCAGCTCAGGTAAAGCTGCAAAGGAACCTGCAGTGACTGCCTTGTTTCTGACGCACAATGAACAGAGGGTGTGTGAAGCCCAGAGCGTGAGATTTCAAGAGAGTGTAGATTCCGGTTTATAATTTTAGAACATGTTGAAGTGGTGGAACAGATTTGCCAGAGTCTAGCATGTTGGCTGTAAGAAAAAGCATCAGGTTCGGGAAAACTTAGTAAAGATTCAGAAAACCCAGACTTGCCCACAGATAGAAGTACTCTTCTGACTTGCATCATTTCTGCTGCAAAAATTATATTTTAGGATAAAGGCCCCCAGCGCCAGAAATCTCTGTTAAAGCATTTGTTCTTCTTGGGACTGGCTGGTGAGGAGTTTACAGTTTATATTTGCTGAGCCTTTGTTTAACACATTTTTTATTCTGGCCCCAGCATGGCTCTGGGGCTAAAAGCCGTGAGGAGAGACTGGTGCTGGGGTAGCTGCAGTGACTCTGGGCCTGTGACCTGTCTGTCCTTGTGCTCTAGTGCTGGTGTTGGAGCAGGATGTGTACTTATAGGATGACTGCCTCAGACCTACCTTTTCCTTCTTTGGCCTTAAATCTGACATCAATTGGGACTTCCCTGGCCGTCCAGTGGTTAAGACTTTGCCTTCCAGTGTAAGGGGTGCGGGTTCAATCCCTGGCCGGGGAGCTAAGATCCCACATGCCTCGCAGCCAAAAAACCAAAACATAAAACAGAAGCAATAGTGTAACAAATTCAATAAAGACTTTAAAAATGGTCCACGTCAAAAAAAAAAAAAAAGAAAAAAAAAGAAATCTTAAAAAAAAACTGACATGAATCGGTTTGTTTGTTTGGGTCTTAGGTATAAGGTCTCCTTCACGATGGAAGGGAATTATTTATTAAATGCTATAAACTGTTGAATGTGAATTATTAAATGATACATACATCAAAGTGATTGTCACCTGATTTTATGAAGGCAGGGAAGCTCTTAGAAATAGGGACCAAGACCTATAGGGTCTCTATTGAAGCCTTCTTGTACTCAGCAGTGTGGTCCCAGAGGGATGTGAAAAGAGCTCTAGGCTGGGGGCTACAGGGCCTACCTCTGGCACCACTGCCCAGTGTGAGTTATAACCTCCCTATTTAAAATTGGAGGTGCTATATACTGTTTTTCCTCGTAAAAGCTAAAATTGAAACCTCCAAAGTCAGTCTTGGAAGAAGGGACTCTTAGTTGGCTGGAGAGCTAGACCACCGGGCCCATGTTAGTTCTCTAAGAGTTGCCTTCCCCTGGGGGCATTGCTAATTATTGCTATTCCCTAGACAGGTCTGTAAAGACCTTCTCCTCGCTCTGTGTTGGCACCGATGAGCTGCCACTGTCCCTTTCTGGCTGTCTAATCATGACAGCCAAGATTGAATGGAGGCCTACAGGAGGAAAAGATGGTAATACAGAGCAAAAAAAGGGAGAGAGAATTTTTGTAGCTCAGAAATAAATAACCTTGTAAATAGTGAAGAGCCTATTTTATTTCAAAAAGGAAGCTAAAATTTCAGTTAAGAAAAAAGAATCATAAATCTGATCTTAAAAAGATAATAATGAATATAGGAAATTGTTTCACTTTGGAATTAATTGGTCACATAGTTACTATTCACCATCTCTTAAGATTATATAAGTCTTATAAATGTATTTAATTATAATCTTATAAATAAAGATGAATATATCAGTTACCAAAAGTAATTTTGGAAACTCAAAAGAGGAGATAGGCAACTGTATTAAATGTATTTGTATTTGTCACCGCCAACGTTTGGAACCATTTCCTTTAGAAGTTTAAAATGCATAGGATACATTACTTCAAAATTGATAGATTGATTCAAACAATCATTTCTGTTTTCTGTTGTTTCCCTGAATCTCTTTTCCGCTATAGTTAGAACCTGGTTGGTTTGACCAGCAATCACTTGTAATGTGCGAGAGGTATGCCATGCCCGGGAGTTATCGTTTCCATACAGAAAGCAGAATCCAGATCCATTCTAAAATCAATATGTTCTTGAAAAATTAACACTTCAGTCAAGGTATCTTTAACTTTTAGGCCAAAATTAATTAAAAAGCCCTGCTTACGTTTTCTTTAATATAAGCCTTTTACACATATCAAGTTTTCAACTTCTTGCATTTTGATTTAGAAGATATCATACAATCATTTCCTGGTTATATAAGAGCTTATAATATGTGATGACTGTCTCTTGATTCTGACTTGCTATCAAATCTTCCCACCTTCCTCTGGATGATTCTAATTTAGAGGGGGTTTATAGAGCAGCAATACCCGGTCGCAAATGAGTGGATTACGCCAGGGACCCCAAGATCTCTCCCTTTCCCCGGGACCTAAACGCAGGGTTTAGGAAGTCCAGTGGTGTTTATGTATCTTCTCAGGCCAAGTGCAAATGCTGGATGTCAGGGGATCACCTGCCTTGTCCCCCTCCACTGAACTAGCCTAAGATTCCTGTCTCTGCTCAGGTTTGTCTCTTGAAACCGTGGAAAGGAGCAGTGAATTATCTCTATATTGACTGTATCCGAATTTTCTGAAAATAGCCTATTTCATTGTTTTCCATAAATCGTAGGACTGGAAAGTGAACAATTTTCCTTTAATACTCCTTAAACATTGATGTTGTCCCAAGCCCCATTCCACCATGAACCTGACTTAACATTAAGTAATCTTTGTTTTTCCCCCTTACACAAGTACCTAAAGTTTGAAGTGATTTCTCCTTCAGTTTTAAAATTTCTACTTCCAATATTCATCTTCCTGCATGATATGGAGATGGGAGCATCGTACAGAGTTAAGATTTGTAGGTTCCCGTGTTGTTTGTGGTCATATTGTTGGCTTACATTTAAATGAAACGTCAGAGTTTACATAGAACTTTTATCTCTTTGATCTATTTTGATCCTCCCAACAACAAGCAAGACAAGACATTATTCTTTGTTATATAATCACATACTCTATTTTTTAAATGGGGAAGCAGGCGTAGAGCTGGGGGAACTGCTTGGCCCAGAGTCACAGAATTCATAGTGGCAACTCAGAGCTGGCACGTGGGGCTTCCAGTGCTCTGGATACAGCAGGCTGGCCATTCTTGATACCTGCTTCTTCACGTCTGCTTATTAAAATTTTGATCTTAAGGAAATAACTGATGCAGCACCTAGTTTAAGATTGAAATTTACAACACCATAACCCTTTGCAACAGAAGCCTGAGCGTTAGTCCCAGACACCAGCATTCTGGGGGGTGAAGTGATTCACCCTGACTTCAGGATGTATGTCAGTGGTAGACAGAAACTTTCCTTTGTAAGTCAGTCTTAGAATAAGAATGAGAATGCTTGGTAAATCTTGTCTTTGCTCCTTAGTCATTTCTCTTCTTGGAACTAGAAGAAGTTAGAGGTGTTTTATTAATGTAAGGTATTCATTTAGACATTCAGAAATATCCAGTTCAGGCCTGCTAGTGTCAGGCACTTGCTAGGCGCTAATAATGCAGAGATGAAAGAAACAGCCCTTCCACTCAAGAAGCACACAGTTCAAGCCCCCTAAATAATTTATAGATAACATAATTCACATAGCTGTTGAATTATTATTAGTCTCTGTAGCAGTAAGGGTCCAAAGAAGGCAAATTGGAGCTAGAAGAAAAGAAACCAGAAGTCTTAATAACAAAAGAAGAATAAGGAGCCCCCAGACAATTGTGTGTGGAGCCATTGAATGAGGTATCACTAAGAAATGGGGAAAATGGGTTTTAGCTTCTTAAAGGAACAAGAATACATATGAGCATCATAAAGAGAGTTTAATATGGGTTGAATCTTTATTCATGTGTCTGTCTTTGGAACACAGACATCTCATAAAATGTGTAATTTAAAAGTGAATTTCTTTTCAACAAATTCCTTTGTCTGCATAGGGAAGTTATAACAAAGTGCGTCCCCAAATAAGAGTATTCTGTGCACTCATTCAATTTCAGTAAGAATGGATAAGGTTTCATTTTACTTTATATTGTTTTCTTAATATTAAAAGTATAAGAAAACCACATTTACCTATCTTGAATTTTCATTACTGTAGTCCTCCTTAAAAACTTAGAGATTTCAAAATTTTGACCTCTTCTTGGATTCCTTAGAAAAACATGGGTTTGTTTGTTTGTTTTAGTTTTGTTCCCATTTAGATGGACGGCCAGTTTTTTTTTTTTTTTTTTTTTTTTTTTGGAGGCCCCTTTTTTTTTTTTTTTTTTTTTTTTGTAGAGTGACTCCTTCTGTTTAGAATCTCTATCTATACAAACCATGACAAACATAACTGAGTGCCCCATGGTGCCTTACGTTCATCAATCCAAGCATGAGCTGATGCACTTTCTTGCCTTCCAGAAGCTTATAGTCTAAGGTAGAAACACTCATAGCAACAACCATTCATTCATTCAATATGCATTGAGAACCCACCATGGACTAGTGATGTGAGAGTTGCAAGAGTGAACATTTGAAAGAGGGAAATCTGGATGCCTTAGTTAATGACCTTCTACCATGACAGAAGCATCATTCCATATTTCCCAGGCTTAAAACTTACTTGTATGTGACTTTTGAAATCCTGAAGTCTTTTTATTTATGCTAGTCAAAATTTACTTTTTTACAGTTATATAAAAATATTTTATGCAACATATGCAGATAAGAATCAAAGCTGGGGAAGCAAAGAGAATTTTAATCAGCTTACTGGTCCAATTTGTCAGTTGTTAAAATTTATATCACACACCTTCAAAGGCAGATTGCTAGCTATTAATTTTTTAGCTCAGTCTTTTTCCTTTAGTGTAGAGATTTCAGCCATGTATTTTCTATAGAGGATCTTTTCTGCTTTGGCATTCCAAGAGAATTGTTGAAAACAAAATGCACCAAGAAAATCAAGAGGGCTGAAGATTCATTCCCTGTGTTTTTAGAATTTTTTGCTGCCTATAAGCTGAATCCTCCTTCCATTCTCTTTCCCTGTACCCATCAACTGCCCCTAGCACTCACTGTCAGCAGGTGA